AAAAAAAAAAAAGAATCTAGTGGGTTTGAAGATGGCTGAGTACAGCTGTAACTTAGGACTTAGGTGGCTAGCAGGGTCATCTGAACAGTTGTATGATGCTCTTCTCCTAAACTAGAACTCAAGTACTGTGTCCTGGAGTCAGCAAAATGGCACTGTATGCATGGTGTGTATGCTGGAGGCATCAATCTTACCTGGATTTTTAGAAAGGAAGTGTTACTTTTTAAAGTCTCTGATTACATAACATTACATGATCATATTCCCCTTTAAACAAAAATTACAGCTAAAAACAACTTTGGCCACCCTCCCACAAACATCTGGCTCTTCCCAGTGTTAATTATTCTTATTAGTTTGGTGTTTCTTTTTCCAGACACTTTTCTATGCTTGTTGTATGTATGTGTGTACTTATAGTAATATAGATAATATTGTCTTGGTTTGTTTTGCTTTTTAAGAAAACATAAGTAGTAGTACCTATAGCATTTTGTCACTTGCTTCTTCCATCTAGCAAGGAAACGTAAAGATTTAGCCATGTTAGCATGTAGTTTTGTTTCTTTCTTTTAAAAAATTGTTATAAAATATACATAGCATAAAATTTACCATCTTAACCATTTTTCAGCAAACAATTCAGTAGTGTTAAGTCCAGTCACATTGATGTGCTGCAGGTCTCCGGGATTCTCTTCATATTGCAAAACTGAAACTCCATACCCATTAAACAGTAACTTCCAGTTCCCCCTCGCAGCCTCTGTTAGCCTCCGTTCTACTGTCTGTCTATATGGACTTGACTACTCTAGGTACCCCCTATAAGTGGAATCATATCATATTTGTCCTTTTGTGACTGACTTATTTCACTCAGCTGAATAATGCCTTTAAGGTTTATCTGTGTTGTAGCATGTATCAGAATTTCCTTTTTAAGGATGAATTTATTCTCTCTTTTTAACTGCCAGGTAGCATTCTGTGTACAATGTTACATAGCCATTTTCCTATTGCTGTTTTCACTTTTTTGTTATTACAGATGATATTGCTGCACTACTTTTGTTAAAAAGTGAACATTGTCAGGTCCAACATTACATCAGTAATATTTCTCACTTTAAGCAGGCTGCTGCTGGGCTTGGTGGCTCATGCCTGTAATCCCAACACTTTGGGAGACAGAAGCGAGAGGTTTGCCTGAGCCCAACCTGAGCAACTTGGTGAGACCTTGTCTCTACAATAAATCAAAAAATTAGCCCGACATGGTGGCATGCACCTATAGTTCCAGCTACTTGAAATGCTGAAGTGAAGGGATCTCCTAAGCCCAGCAGGTTGGGGTTGCAGTAAGCCATGAGCATGCCACTGCACTCCAGCCTTTGGGCAACAGAGTGAGACTTCAACTCAAGAATTTAAAAAAAGGCTGCTAGATCCCTTGGCCGGGGGCTAGTGGGAAACTCTCTCTTGCTCCACTTCACAGACTCTTCTTGAAGGAAAAGTCTGAAAAGCACCAACCAGTTCCTAAGAGTAGATAAAGTACAATGTTTACAGAAATTGAAAAACCTCAATAATTTTACAGAATTTTGATGGTATTGATTTTATAGTCATTAGCTTTCAATGACAGACATTGGGAAAGTACAAAAAGGCTTTCCATAGACTAAAAAATTAAATAACATCTGAGAAATGTTGTGTTAATGGGTACTGAGGGTTTTGTTTTTTGTTTTTTTTTTGAGTTGGAGTCTCATTCTGTCGCCCAGACTGAAATGCAGTGGCTGCTCCCGGCCACCGCAGCCTCGAACTGCTGGGCTCCGGCGATCCTTCCGCCTCAGCCTTCCGAGTAGCCGGAATTACAGGCGCGCGCTACCACGCCCAGCTGATTTTTTGATTTATTGTAGAGATGAGGTCTCACCAAGATGCCCAGGTGGGTCTCGAACCCACGGGCTCAGGCAATCCACTCACCTCAGCCTCCCAAAGGCGCGGGATTACAGGCTAAGCCACCGAGCCTAGCTCTGAGGGATTTTTTGTTTTATTTGTTTGTTTGTTTATTTGAGTCAGAATCTCACTCTGTCACCCAGGCTTGAGTGCAGTGGCACTCTCACAGCCACCACAGCCTCAACCTGCTGGGCTCAGGTGATCCTTCCACTTCAGCCTTCCAAGTAGCTGGAACTATAGGCACACACTACCATGCCTGGCAAATTTTTTGATTTATTGTAAAGATGAGGTCTTGCCAAGTTGCCCAGGCTGGTCTTGAACCCCTGGGCTCAGGCAATCCTCTCTCCTCCATCCCCCAAAATGCTGGGATTATAGGTTTGAGCCACCACGCCTGGCCTTAGTGCATGTAGAGTTTTAGTTTTGCAAGATGAAAAGAGTTTTGGAGATTGGTTGCACAATAGTGTGAATGTATACTATTGTGCACTTAAAATGGTTAAGATGGTTGCTTTTGTGTTTTGTGTATTTTATATTTAAAAACATTTAAGACCGGCTCGGTGGCTCAGCCTGTAATCCTGCACCTTTGGGAGGCTGAGGTAAGTGGATTGCCTGAGCCCGCGGGTTCGAGACCCGCCTGGGCAGCGAGACCTCATCTCTACAATAAATCAAAAAATTAACCGGGTGTGGTAGCATGCACCTGTAGTTCCAGCTACTCAGAAGGCTGAGGCGGAAGGATCGCTGGAGCCCAGCAGGTCGAGACTGTGGTGGCCGGGAGCGGCCATTGCCCTCCAATCTGGGCGACAGAGTGAGACTCCAACTCAAAAAAAAAAAACAACAAAACACTTAAGTAGCACATTTTGAAAGCACTTTTGATTAAATGTACAATACTGATTTCATTGTTACACTTGAGTAATGTTGGACAGATCATAACCAGGGAATAGAATTTTCTTTTCTCCTTGGACATGTTTTCCCAGAGTATTTGTCTAGAAGATAGGCTGTTGTTCATCTGTAGGCTGTTGTTCATCTGTAACTGTCATACTGTACCTGTTTCACCCACTTCGTGTTCTTGCTTAGGTTGGCTGCAACCCCAATGAAGATGTGGCTATTTTTGCTGTTGACTCATTAAGGCAACTCTCCATGAAGTTTCTTGAGAAGGGTGAATTAGCCAACTTTCGTTTCCAGAAAGATTTTCTGAGACCCTTTGAGCATATTATGAAGAAAAACAGGTATGTGCTTTGCTCTGGAAGACCCTGGGTCAAATTCCCCTTTGGTACTCAGAGTTAATTTTTTCCTCCCTTGTTGCTGGAAGCTAATAGAATGCACAGACTGTGGTTCACATTGATTGTCTTTAAGTAAATCTCATAAACCTGTATGTGTAACCTTTCCTAGAAGGACACATGACACCCTGCAACTAATAGAAGTATGTCTTGCATCCCTATTGGGGCTGGTGCTGAGGGAGAGTAGAGAAAGAGCCACTGCTGAAGCATCTCAAACAAGGACAAGAATTATGTGACCAGCATTTCTGCCCCAAGGAAGTGGTAAAAGAGGTCAGGACTATCCCTCTGAAACAGTCATCCTGTTCATTCACTCAGTTGGCCTGTATTTGAGGTCTGCCATCTGCTAGGTACTATTCTAAGTGCAGAGAATACAGCAGTAAAGAAGACATTTGTAAAATCCCTGTTTTCATTGGGCCTTGAATTGATAGTAGTTGCAGCTGGGTGTGGTGGGCTTCCGGGAGATCATTACACATTTGAGATTTTTCATAATTAAAAAACAAATCCCTGTTTATATTCCAGGGGAATAGATAAATTTTTAGTAAGTCAGGAGTGATAAAGTGCTCTGAAGAACATTAAATCAAGGTAAGGGGAGAGGGATAGAAACAACGCTTTATACAGGACAGTCAGCTCACTTGGGTTTGGTAAGGTGACCTTAGGCAAGTCCTGAACAGAGTGAGGAGCAAGCCAGGAGTGACTGTGTGCTGCCTTGGCAGGAGTGTTGTGACTAGGCAAAGAGCAAGAGCAAAATCCCTGGGGCAGGCAGTGGTTGGCATTGGTGAGGAAGCCCGTGTGACTGGGGTGGAGTGAACAAGGCAGGTAGTCGTAGAAAGTGAAGTTCCTCCCAGCGGTAGCGGGGCTCCTAGGTCACAGTGGCTTGCTCCCTATGATAGATGGAAGGTGTTGGGAGGAATTTAAGCAGAGAAGTGAAATGGTCTGACATATTTTAAAGAATCACCCTGTGCTTATCCATGGAAAATGAGAAGCAATAAGATGAATTAGGAAGCTGTTGTAGTTGTCCAGGTCTAGATGAGGGTGGTGGGTTGGATTCTGTGCACATTATCTTTCTTTTTTTTGGTGTGCAGTTTTTATGGTTTTATTTAAACACAAATAAAACATGCAGTGAGCTGTCTATTCACTTTCTTGACTGTGCAGCCTGGCATTAGGATTGGTGCCTCTGATGGCCAGCTGGGCTGTTCTTTCTATAATGGTTTTCTAGTTCTTAGAGGAAACGTGAGCAATTTCAGCACAACAAGATTTTTTGCACATCAGCGGCATTTCCAGCTCTTTGACACTGTGGCCCAGGAACTTCCGGAAGCCACTGGGCAGCATGTGCTCTGTTTTCTTGTTGCTCCCACAACCCAATGCTGGGCATCAAGATCTGGCCCTTGAATTTTCTGTGCACCCTGTTGTCAATATCTCTGGGTTTCCACCAGTTACGATTAATCTTGACATATCAGTCTGACTGGTGCCAGAGAACTTCTTGTACTCTTTTTGATGATCTTGGACTTCACCAAGGGTCTGAGGGCAGCCTTGATGCCGGGTACAAGATGGCTGCTGCCTCAGTAGACAGTGCTGAAGGAGAGAGGGGCTCTGCGCACATTTTCAAAGGGAAGCCTGCAGCATGTACTGATGAATTGGCCGTGGAGCATAAGAGGGAGGAGATGTCAAGGATGACTTGCAAGCATAACCTTTATGCCTGCCCACTCCCCTAAAGAGTGTACTCCAGTTTGTCCTGGATCATTTTTTAAAGAAACAAAATGAAAGCTCACAAGCTGGAAGGTTTTAGGCCAGAGTGGGCTCTTGGGATAGTGAATAAAAGGCCAGTAGAAAAGCTTCCTTGACGTGTCTCCCTTTCTCCTAGAGTCTATATTCTCTGCCTGTTTTTAAAGAGAACCAAATTAAGCCCAGAGTCTGGCATCACCCCTGATTTTAGCAGATGCACAAAAATATTCTCTACCTTTGGGAACACTGTTGAGAGTGCTTGAGGCGACCGAGGCCTCATGCAGCCAAGCCCTGTGCTCAAATCTGGTAGCATAGAACTCCTGTTCTAATTCTAGGCTTTCCCTGCCCGTCCTGCTGTTGCCCACCCAGCATTTGAAAAGGGGCAGAGGGCCGGGCTCGGTGGCTCAGTCTGTAATCCCTCGCCTTTGGGAGGCTGAGGTGAGTGGATTGCCTGAGCCTGTGGGTTCGCGACCCTCCTGGGCAGCGAGACCTCATCTCTGCGATAAATCAAAAAATCGCCAGGCGTGGTAGCGCATGCCTGTAATTCCGGCTACTTGGAAGGCTGAGGTGGAAGGATCGCCGGAGCCCAGCAGGTCGAGGCTGCGGTGGCTGGGAGCGACCACTGCACTCCAGTCTAGGTGACAGAGTGAGACTCCAACTCAAAAAAAAAAAGGAAAGGGGCAGAGTTAGTTTAGAATCACACGTTCCCAGCCACTCTCAGACACTGTCATTGGACATTCAAAAGCATTTTGGCTATATGTGTCAAGAACCTTAATATTTTTGAGTCCAGGCCAGGCACAGTGGCTCACGCCTATAATCCCAGCACTTTGGGAGGCCAAGGTGAGAGGATTTCCTGAGCCCATGGGTTTGAGAACACCTGGCATCACCCCTGATTTCATCTCTGCCTTATCTCTACAATAAATTTAAAAACAATTAGCTGGGCATGGTGGCGCATACCTGTAGTTCCAGCTACTTGGAAGGTTGAGGCAGAAGGATCACCTGAGCCCAGTAGGTCGAGGCTGCAGTGGCGGTGAGCATGCCACTGCACTCCAACCTCACCAAGTTGCCCTGACTGGTCTCAAACCCCTGGGCTCAGGCAATCCTCTCACCTCTACCTCCCAAACTCATCTCTATAATAAAATTTAAAAATTAGCCTGGCTTGGTGACGTGTGCCTGTAATTCCGGCTACTTGGAAGGCTAAGGAAGAAGGATTGCCCAGTGCAGCAGGTAGAGTCTACAGTTACTATGCCGCTGCACTCCAGCCTGGGCAACAGAGTGAAACTCTGACTGAAAAAAAAACAAAAAACCAAGGTCACTGTATAATTTCAAAGCTAGTACTGTAGAAACAGTGAGCTTCTATAGCTTTCCTTCTTGCTATTTGTGAGATAATAGAGTTCCTCCATAATTGTACATCTTAATAGAATGTGAGACATATATACTCATATTGCAAGTATTCAGGTGATACTATGTTTAACTTTGTAGGTATTTCAGAAAATAGGCCGTTTTTTCCTTTTTTTTTTTTTTTTTTTTTTTTTTTGAGTTGGAGTCTCACTCTGTCGCCCAGACTGGAGTGCAGTGGCCGCTCCCGGCTACCGCAGCCTCGACCTGCTGGCCTCCGGCAATCCTTCCGCCTCAGCCTTCCATGTAGCTGGAACTACAGGCGCGTGCTACCATGCCCGGCTCATTTTTGACTTATTGTAGAGATGAGGTCTCGCCAAGTTGCCCAGGCGGGTCTCGAACCCGTGGGCTCAGGCAATCAACTCACCTCAGCCTCCCAAGGCGTGGGATTACAGGCTGAGCCACTGAGTCCTTCTCTTTTTTTTTTTTTTTTAGTTGGAGTCTCACTCTATCACCCAGACTGGAGGGTAGTGGCACACTCTTGACCACCGCAGCCTCGACCTGCTGGGCTCAGGTGATCCTTCTGTCTCAGCCTTCCAAGTAGCTGGAACTACAGGCATGCGCCACCATGCCTGGCTAACTTTAAAAATTTATTGTAGAGATGAGACCTCGCCAAGTCACCCAGGTTGGGTTTGAACCCACTGGCTCAGGCAACCATCTCACCTTGGCCTCCCAAAGTGCTGGGATTATAGGTGTGAGCCATCATGCCCACCCATTAGGCCATTTTTTCTATCTTCAGGTTTTGTTTTGTAATAATTTAAAACATTGTACCAGCCTAGACAACATACCAAGACCTTGCCTCTACAAAAAATCAAAAAATTAGCCAGACATGGTTGTACGCACCCATAGTTCCAGCTACTTGGGAGGCTGAGGCAAAAAGATCACCTGAACCCAGGAGGTAGAGTCTATGGTGAGCTTGGATCACACCACTGTACTCTAACCTGGGCAACAGAGTGAGATCCTGACTCAAAACCATTGCATCTTTAATTATGTATGTATTCTCCAATCCATGTATTTATGTTTGATCATAATGCATATATCCCTGCCCAAAAATCTAATAGGATATACACGACGAATTTAGTAATGATTAGCTCTGGGTGACAGAATTATATTAAGTTGAAATGTTTGAGGCCTGAAAAACTGACCAACAATGGTTGGAACCACAGTGTTGTGTGTTGTTTCTTTAAAAAGATGTCAGAGAGCTGGGCTTAGTGGCTCAGCCTGTAATCCCCTGCCTTGGGAGGCTGAGGTGAGTGGATTGCCTGAGCCCGCGGGTCCAAGACCCGCCTGGGCAACTTGGCAAGACCTCATCTCTACAATAAAATTAAAAAATTAGCTGGGCATGGTAGCACGTGCCTGTAGTTCCAGCTACTTGGAAGGCTGAGGCAGAAGCATCACCAGAGCCCAGCAGGTCGAGGCTGCGGTGGCTGGGAGCGTGCCACTGTGCTCCAGTCTGGGTGACAAAGTGAGGCTCCAACTCAAAAAAAAAAAGAAGTCAGAAGCATGCAACCCAGCTTTGGTTTTTATAGCCCAGCTTGTCATTAGGGACCTAGGCTCTTTCCTTCTATTCTGCTATCCAAAGGGTCAGCTTTTTTACCATCAGTATATTGTTTCGTAGTTGCAAGGTGGTAGCCCTAGCTCTAGGCATCTTGCTTGGTTTGGAATGGTAGTAAGAGGAAGGAGGCAGAGTCTAAATGAATTTGAATTACTGTGTGCCTTAAAAAATTGTTTAAGTGCTATTTTTAAGGAATGAGCTGTGTCCATTTCACTTCCAACTCTCCAAAGTACAAACGATATGGCAGTCCTATTTCTTCCTCAGGTCTCCAACCATCCGGGACATGGTGATCCGCTGCATTGCCCAAATGGTGAACTCTCAGGCAGCTAATATCCGCTCAGGCTGGAAGAACATCTTTGCCGTGTTCCACCAGGCAGCCTCTGATCATGATGGGAACATTGTGGAGCTAGCCTTCCAGACCACGGGCCACATCGTCAGTAAGTGTCTGTTTTTTCCTGACTACTGTCTCACCTACAGGTCTAGAAGGGTGACCACTTACTTGCTATCTATTTTCCTATCTAAAGGGACTTTCTTACTTTGGCTCTGCTGTGATACAATAATGTGCCAGGCAGTGATCCTTAAGCACTTAACATGTATTAATTCTAATTTTAATGATGTTTTGACTTTCTTCTTGCCTTTTCTGAATGGCCTCCCCTGTTATCAGTTGGCATGGGTCCAGCAGACAGATGTGAATGTTGTTCTAAGCCAGATGAAATTTTAAAGTCAGATCTGCAATCCCAAAGCCACTTTAATGACTATGAAGTGAATACGGTCCATCCTCATTGTTGGTGGAGTCCGTGTTTGTGTGCTCACTGAAATGTATATGTAACTCCAAGACCAACACTCACAGTGCTTTTGTTGTCATTTGCTGCCATGTGCATGCATAGAACAACAAAGAAATTGAGTCATCCAAGGTGCACATACACTGCTGAAGTGGATTAAGGTGTTGCTCTGGCCAGTCACCGTGACTCATGCCTGTAATCCCAGCACTGAGAGATGGAGGTGAGAGAATTGCCTGAGCCCAGGGGTTCGAGACCAGGCAACTTGGTGAGACCTCTTCTGGGCAACTTGGTGAGACCTCTTCTCTCTAATAAATCAAAAAATTAGCCAGGTGTAGTGGCACAAGGCTGTGACTCCAGCTACTTGGAAGGTTGAGGCAGAAGGATCACCTGAACCCATCTGCACCCAGGTCGAGGCTGCGGTGGTTGTAAGCATACCATTGCACCCCAGCCTGGGCGACAGAATGAGACTCTGACTCAAAAAAAAAAAAGTGTCACTCTGCCCGTTTGTTTCAGCTGTCATATGCCATAAACAAGCATGTTTTCCGTGGTCCTTTGAGTGCCATGTTTTTCACATTTTTGTGCTTTTGTTGGTGACTTCACTGTTTAAAATGCCTTCCAAGTGTAGTGCTGTGTGCTAGTTTGTCTAATTGTAGAAAGGCTGTGATGTGTCTAGGGAGAAAAAACGTGTCAGATGAGCTTCTTCAGGCACGAATTATACTATTGTTGGCCATGAGTCCAATGTTAATGAATCAACAATAGCTATTAAATAAAGTGTCTTGAAACAGAAACACACATACAAGGTATGTATTGATCAGTTGATAACAGTGTGATCAGGGATTTGCAGGAACCTAACTCCATATTACCCCTAGGAACAATGGTTCAGTATTTTTATTTATTTATTTATTTTTGAGTTGGAGTCTCACTCTGTCGCCCAGACTGGAGTGCATGGAGTGCAATGACCGCTTCCGGCCGCCGCAGCCTCGTACTGCTGGGCTCCGCGATCCTTCCACCTCAGCCTTCCAAGTAGCCGCAATTACAGGCATGCGCTACCACACCCAACTGACTTTTTGATTTATTGTAGAGATGAGGTCTCGCCAAGTTGCCCAGGCGGGTCTCGAACCTGTGGGCTCAGGCAATCCACTCACCTCGGCCTCCCAAAGGCGCGAATTACAGGCTGAGCCACCGAGCCCGGCTAGGAAATCAGTTTTAACCAAAACTATATTCAGTGCATTCATTCCTGAATAATTTAATAAGAATGACTGTCTTTCAGAGACATTGTCATGCTTTTCTTAGATTTTCTTTCTTTTCTTTTTTTTTGGAGTTAGAGTCTCACTCTCATGCCCAGGCTAGAGTGCAGTGGCACGCTTACAGCCACCACAGCCTTGACCTGCTTGGCTCAGGCGTCCCTTCCACCTCAGCCTCCCAAGTAGCTGGAACCACAGAGGTGTGCCAACATGCCTGGCTCATTTTTTGATTTATTGTAGAGACGAGGTCTCGCCAAGTTGCCCAAGCTGTTCTTGAACCCCTGGGCTCAGGCAGTTCTCTTGCTTCGGCCTCCCAAAGTGCTAGGGTTACAGGCATGTGCCTGACTTTTTCTTCAATTTTCACAAGAGTAATTATCTCTCATCTCTGTGTGTATGTATGTGTGTGTTTTCATCCCTGTTTCTAATTGTGGTCTGATAAAAATGTGCCTTGTTCCTCCACAGCATCTATTTTCCAGCACCATTTTCCTGCAGCCATCGACTCCTTTCAGGATGCTGTGAAGTGCTTGTCGGAGTTTGCCTGCAATGCTGCTTTCCCTGACACAAGCATGGAAGCCATCCGGCTCATCCGCTTCTGTGGGAAATATGTCTCAGAGAGGCCCCGGGTTCGTTTTCCTTCTCCTTGCTCAGATTGATAATGAGGGGGGAAAATGGTCATGGGGCAAAAACCCTTGCTCTTAATGAAGACCTTTCCAGCTACTCTTTTAAAAATGTGTGTTTGCCCTAAACTAAGTGTTTATTTTCAATGTGTCCATTGCAGAGGTTATATTTTTTTCATTATTGTGTGTGTGTGTGTGTGTGTGTGTGTGTGTGTGTGTGTGTGAGTGAGTGTGTGTACATGCATACATAGATACATAATTATAGTTTTATTCATACTGAACCTACAGTATTCCATAAATAATTGTTTTTGTAGATGATAATAGTATTTTAGCTTTTTGTCAAATCAAGAAGCCAAAACCCACAAAACTCTGTAAGTTTATGCTGGGAAACTGTTGTGTGCCCTTTGGGCCAAGTAATGTCTCTGTGTCTTTTGTCCCCACTATACTCTTGCTGAATGGAGATTTTTAGGAAATGACATTATACCATTGTGATGTGCCTGAGAAACCACATTTAATAATCACCTTTTGACTGGGCACAGTAGCTTGCGCCTATAATCCCAGCAGTTTGGGAAACTGAGGCAGAGGAATCACCTGAACCCAGAAGGTCTGGGTTGCAGTGAGCTGTGATTGTGCCGCTGCACTCCAGCCTGGGCATCAGAGCAAGATCCTGACTCAAAAATAAATAGATGGCCGGGCTCGGTGGCTCAGCCTGTAATCCCATGCCTTTGGGAGGCTGAGGTAAGGGGATTGCCTGAGCCCGCGGGTTCAAGACCCGCCTGGGCAGGCAAGACCTCATTTCCACAATAAATCAAAAAATCAGCTGGGTGTGGTAGCACATGCCTGTAATTCTGGCTACTTAGAAGGCTGAGGCGGAAGGATTGCCGGAGCCCAGCAGGTCGAGGCTGCAGTGGCCGGGAGCGGCCACTGCACTCCAGTCTGGACGACAGAGTAAGACTCCAACTCAAAATAAATAAATAAATTAATTAATTAGTTAATAGGTGAGTAGATAAAATCACCCATTGTTTTTCCTGAAAAACAAATTTTTTGGTTTGTCTCATCTTTCTAAAGAGTTCTACTTAGTTTAAATGAAGACCTAAAACACTGAAATTGGGTGAATATTCTTCTTTTTTTTTATAGTTGGTTGCTCACTGTCGTCCAGGCTGGAGCGCAGTGGCATGCTCACAGCCATTACAGCCTGGACCTGCTGGGCTCAGGTGATCTTTCTGCCTCAGCCATCCAAGTAGTTGTAACTACAGGTGTGCACTACCATGCCTAGCTAATTTTTTGGTTTATTGTAGAGATGAGGTCTCGCCAAGTTACCCAGGCTGGTCTTGAACCCCTGGGTTTAGGCAGTTCTCTTACCTTGGCGTCACAAAGTGCTGGGATTATGGACATGAGCCACAGGGCCTGACCTGGGTGAATATTCTTTACAGAAGAGCTATAAACCTCTAACATGATTTATCTGCTCCCTGCAGCAGCTCTCTGAGATGTGACAATAATGAGTCATTCAGCATTAATTGAGCACTTCCTACTTGTCAGGCACCATTCTATATATTTTCTGTGTGTTGATTCCTTTAACCCCCAGACCTGTGAGATAGTTAATGATATCCCATTGTATCAGAAGTTAACTGAAGCATGGAAAAATTGCCTAATGTTAGATAACCATAGTTTATAAAGAAATTTCAAGACCACTTTAGGAGTGATTACACAGCAGAGAAATCAAAATCCCAGAAATAGGACAGAGAGAAGGACTTCACATCCAGACTGTGAAAGACTGCCAGCTCCCATCTGAATAACCTTGGGCAGCTTACTCAAGCTTAAATAGCATCAGTTAACTCATCTGTATAACAGGACCATTATTTCTGGCTGCCACTTGGGACTATTGTGAGAATTGTTAATTCATGTAAAGCACTTTAACAGTTCCTGGTCTTGAGCAATAACTCAAGTATATAGTAGCACCAGCTGCTGCTGCTGTTATTTTAAATAGTATGTATTGCAGTAACATTCCAGAAAGACCTAAGATGATGAATCATCCTGAATATTTTTCTAGTACCATTTGATCTTCTTTTTTTTTTGAGTCGGAATCTCACTCTGTCGCCTAGGCTGGAGTTCAGTGGCATGCTCACAGCCACTATAGCCTCAGGCTGCTGGGCTCAGGCACTCCTTCCACCTCAGCCTTCCAAGTAGCTGGAACTACAGGTGCATGCCACCACACCCGACCGATTTTTTGATTTGTTGTAGAGATGGGTCTCGCCAAGTTGCCCAGTCTGGTCTCAAATCCCTGGAGTCAGGCAATCCTCTCGCCTCCACCTGCCAAAGTGCTGGGATTACAGGCATGAGCCACTGTGCCTGGCTTCTTCATGTTCTTAATGCAACGGCTTCCAGCCCTAGGACTCTTGTGATCTGCCCCACTCAATATGTTCTAAAACACAAAGAGGTCCATAGGTTTATACCAGGAAACTTGTACCTTTTGGGACAGGTAATTTCTCTGTCCTCTGTCCTAACTGTTCCCTGGCTGAATGGAGATTTTTTTAGGTGAGCAGAATGAATGAGATCTTAATCTTTATATAGTTCCCTTTTAGTTTCTTCCTGTTACATGCTTAGTTCACATCTGAGATGTGATTTTCGTCTTAGGTGCTACAAGAATACACAAGTGATGATATGAATGTGGCTCCTGGAGACAGAGTCTGGGTCCGAGGCTGGTTCCCCATCCTATTTGAACTCTCCTGCATCATTAATAGATGCAAGTTAGATGTACGAACAAGGTAACTGTGTCCCCCGGGTCATAGCCCTGCCATCACTGAAATGAGCCTCAGTTACTTGCTCACCTGAGCCCATTCTCCCACCCTCTCTCTGTCGTTCTCTTCCCCACCCATTCTCTCTTCTGCACCTGGCTTTGTTTCCTCCAGAGGTCTTACAGTCATGTTTGAGATCATGAAGAGCTATGGCCACACTTTTGAAAAGCACTGGTGGCAGGACCTGTTCAGAATCGTGTTCCGGATTTTTGACAATATGAAACTCCCTGAGCAACAGTCAGAGGTGAGTGGTGACTGCAGCATTGCCCTGGATATGATGGGGAGGAAAGCCTGTCTGGCCTAGATCTGCCTTTGGGGGTTACATCACCATCCACCTGGAGTTCTTAAGTACTGAGCTACTGAAGGTTTGTTTTAAAAATGGAATTCCAGGCCGGGCTCTGTGGCTCAGGCTGGACTTGGTGGCTCAGCCTGTAAACCCAGCACTTTGCGAGGCCGAGGTGAGTAGATTGCCTGAGCTTGCGGGTTCGAGACCCACCTGGGCAACTTGGCAAGCCCTCATCTCTACAATGCATCAAAAATTAGCTGGGTGTGGTAGTGTGCGCCTGTAGTTCGGCTACTTGGAAGACTGAGGTGGAAGGATCACCAGAGCCCAGCAGGTCAAGGCTGTAGTGGCCAGGAGCACCTGGGTGACAGAGTGAGACTCTAACTTTAAAAAAAAAAAAAAAAAAAAGGAAACGCTAGATTGGGCGCTGTGGCTCATGCCTATAATCCCAGCACTTTGGGAGGCCAAGATAAGAGGATTGCCTGAGCCTACAAGTTCGAAATCAGTCTGGGCAACTTGGTAAGACCATATCTACAATAAATCAAACAATTAGCTGGGCATGGTCGCTCGTGCCTATAGTTCCAGCTACTTGGAAGGCTGAGGCAGAAGGATCATCTGAGCGCAGCAGGTCGAGGTTGCGGTGGCCGTGAGTATGCCACTGCCTTCCAGCCTGGCTGACAGAGTGCCACTCCAATTCAAAAAAAAAAAAATGGCCATTGCCTTACTAGACTGGTGTGGCCATGTGCTTTTTTAGCAATAGCTGTCGCTGTGTTTCCTGGCTTTGATTCAGGTCCCTACCTTAAGGGGATGAATCCCTTTCTCTCTCTCTCTCTCTCTTTTTCTCTAATTTACTTTTTATTTATTTATTTATTTTTTGTTTTTGTTTTTTTGTTTTTGTTTTTTTGTTTTTTGTTTTGAGTTGGAGTCTCACTCTGTTGCCCAGACTGGAGTGCAGTGGCTGCTCCCGGCCAACGCAGCCTCGACCTGCTGGGCTCCGGTGATCCTTCCGCCTCATCCTTCCAAGTACCGGAACTACAGGTGCACGCTACCATGCCTGGCTAATTTTTTTTATTTTATTGTAGAGATGAGCTCTCGTCAAGTTGCCCAGGCGGGTCTCAAACCCGCGGGCTCAGGCAATCCGCTCACCTCAGCCTCCCAAAGGCACGGGATTACAGGCTGAGCCACTGAGCCCGGTTTAATTTTTTGATTTATTGTAGAGATGAGGTCTCACCAAGTTGTCCAATCAGGTCTCGAACCCGCAGGCTCAGGCAATCCACTCACCTCAGCCTCCCAAAGGCATGGGATTACAGGCTGAGCCTCCGTGCCCAGACAGTATTTGTTCTTTTGTTGCCCAGGCTGGTCTCAAACACCTGGGCTCAGGCAATCTTCTCTCCTCAGCCTCCCAAAGTGCTGGTATTATAGGCTAAGCCACAGTGCCCGGCCGAGGAATACTTTTATGTATAATTAATTAAATACCAGCTGGGCATGGTGGCTCACACCTGTAATCTCAGCACTTTGGGAGGTGGAGTCAAGAGGATTGGCTGAGACCAGGGGTTCAAGACTAGCCTGGGCAACTTGGCAAGACCTCATCTCTACAATCCGTCAAAACATTAGCCCGGTGTGGTGGAAGGCTGAGGCAGAAGGATCACCTGAGCCCAGCAGGTTGAGGCTGTGGTGATCGTGGGAGTGCCACTACACTCCAGCCTGGGAGACAATGTGAGACTCCTACTCAAAAACAAAAAACAAGCCAGGCTCGGTGGCTCAGCCTGTAATCCCAGTGCTTTGGAAGGCCGAGGTGAGCGGATTGCCTGAGCCCAAGGGTTCGAGACCCGCCTGGGCAACTTGGTGAGAGCTCGTCTCTACAATAAATAAAAGAAAATTAGCCGGGTGTGGTAGCACGTGCCTATAGTTCCAGCTACTTGGAAGGCTGAGGTGGAAGGATCGCCGGAGCACAGCAGATAAAGGCTGCGGTGGCTGGGAGCGGCCACTGCACTCCAGCCTGGGTACGAAGTGAGACTTCAACTCAAAAAAAAAAAAGTTGTTTGGTTTTTTTTTGGTTTTGAGTTGGAATCTCACTCTGTCGCCCAGGCTGGAGTACAGTGGCACACTCACAGCCACCCCAGTGTCAACTTGCTGGACTCCGGTGATCCTTCGATCTCAGCCTTTCAAGTAGCCAAAACTACAGGCGTGCACTGCTACACCTAGAAAAAAATTTTTTTTTTTGTAGAAATGAAGTCTTACCAAGTTGCCAGGGCTGGCCTTGAACCTGCATGCTTAGACAATCCACTTACCTCGGCCTCCCAAAGCGCTGGGATTACAGACTGAGCCACTGAGCCCAGCCCAGAAAGAGTTTTCTAGTCTTTTCTTTTTTTGAGTCAGAATCTCACTCTGGCACCCAGACTGGAGTGTAGTGGCACAATCACAGCTCACTGCAGCTTTGACTTTCTAGGCTCAGATTATCCTTCCACCTCAGCCTCCTCAGTATCTGGGACTACAGGCCTGTGCTACGATGCCTGGCTGATTTTTTTATTTTTTTGTAGAGATGAAGTCTTGCTATGTTGCCTAGGCTGGTCTTGAACTCCTTGGCTCAAACAATCCTCTGACCTCAGCCTCCCAAAGTACTGGGATTACAGTTGTGAGCCACCGTGCCTGCTGCTAAGCTTTTTGCATTTAAAAATAACATTTTCCTCATTATAAAACAAATATATATTCATTTCAGAAAAATTAGAAAACAAACAAAAACAAAAAAAAATGTAAATGCCCCCACAGTTACAGCTCTTCCCAGGCAACCACTCTTAAGCCTCTCAGGTGTTACAGGTATGTGTTTGTGATCCACTTCTTGTTCTTTTTATAAAAATAGAATTCCACCACAAATGTAAACAGCCTTTTAAGATTTAATACATGAGTGTTTTCTACAACTGTAACTTTTCTTCTACCATTTTCTTTTTTTTTTTGAGTTGGAGTCTCACTCCGTCGCCCAGGCTGGAGTGCAGTGGCACAATCACGGCCACCCCAGCGTCGAACCGCTGGGCTCAGGTGATCCTTCTGCCTCAACCTTCCAAGTAACCGGAACTACAGGCACGCACTACCATACCTAGCTAATTTTTTTTTATTATTGTAGTGATGAGGTCTTGCCAAGTTGCCCAGACCATTCTTGAACTCGTGGGCTCAGGCAATCCTCTCACCTCAGTCTCCCAGAGTGCTGGGGTTACAGGCTTGAGCCACTGCGCCTGGCCTCCATTTTCTTAATGACTGTAAAACATTCCTAGTTGTGAATGTTCCGTAATTCACGGACATTTAGGATGTTTCCAGTTTTTTCTGAACAGCACTGAATGATTTTTTGGTGGCTACATTTATACTTAAGTTCTTTCCTTTTTTTAAATTTTAGGACAAGTGACCCTACTGCCAGATTTGGGGCTTGTTCATTATTAAGACTTCTGATATATACTACTAAGCTGACCTCTAAATTGTAGTCGTTTATACTTCTGTTAGGCATAGCATGAGAGTTCCTTGGCCTCCCAAAGTGCTGGGATCACAGGCAGGAGGAGCGGCCGGCTGAGTTTTTAAATATATAAATAATGCAGCATATCCTTACATGACTTGCAGATGTTTTGCCCCACCTTGTTATTTTTATTTTGGAAAATTTTAACTTTTAAGTAACCAACTCTATCCGTTTTTGTTTTTTTTGTTTTTTGTGTTTTCCTTTCTGGCTTCCACTTTTGAAATCATGCTTGGCAACCCTGTCCCCTTTTGTTATTTTAAAAATATTCCTCTGGTAATTCCATGGTACCATTTTTAATATTAAAATATTTGGTATAAGATGTAGATATTTGGCATAATTTTTTCCAGATCATTAAAATGTTAAAAATCTCATTTTATCTTTGTTTTTACTTTTTATATCACTTAGTCTAATATCAATTCTGATAAAGTATCATTTTGCAGAACTGTTTAGTACTCTAGCATATAGATATACTTAATTTAATGCCCACATTGCTGGACGTTAGGTTGTATCTGTGTTTTTGCCATTGCAACAAACATCTTTATTCATAAATCTTTGCCCACAAATCTTTTGATTATTTCTTTAGAGTCAATTCTTAGAAGTAGTGTTACTGAATTAGTGGGTGTGAGCATTTTTTAGACTGTTGATACATATCTCCAGATTGCTTTTCAGAACAGTTTTGCTAGTGGTGTACGATAATGCCCATCTCACTGTAGGAAGAATGGACTTTAAGTATTATCTTTTTATTGTTTTTCCAGAAATCTGAGTGGATGACAACAACCTGCAATCATGCACTCTATGCTATTTGTGATGTGTTTACCCAGTTTTATGAAGCTTTGAATGAGGTTCTTCTTTCTGATGTATTTGCACAATTGCAGTGGTGTGTAAAACAAGGTATCCTTTAAGTCTCTAGGCATCATTTTTTTTTACATCGTCCTTAATGACAGGTTAAAATTTTTAATATATAAAAGCATGGATGTAATGCCAAAGAGTGCAATATATAATTTAGTGGGTGAAAAAAATTTTTTTAATTTTAATTAGAACATAAAAACAATTCCAATTCAGTTTATAAAGCATTTCTTTAAAATGGAATGTAGTTCTTCTTGTATTTTATAGGATGTACCTTTGTGTATTATACTAGTCTTTCTAATTTTGTATATGTTTGAAATTTTTTATAGTAAAGGGTTTTTTTAAGTACTGTTAGAGTCAAAATCAGACCGGTCACGGCAGCTCACACCTGTAATCCCAGCACTTTGCAAGACTGAGGTTGGAAGATTGCCTGAGCCCAGGAATTTGAGACCAGGCCAGGCAACATAGCGAGACCCCATCTCTTAAAAAAAAAAAAAAAATTAGCTGGGTGTGGTGGTGTGCATCTGTAGGCCCAGCTACTCAGGAGACTGAGGCGGAAGGATAGGCTGAGCCCTGGATCAAGGCTATAATAAGCTGTGACTGTGCCACTGCTCTCCAACCCTGGGTGAGAGTGAGACTCTGACTCAAAAAGGAAAAAAAAAAAATTAACAACTTCATCAATGGACATTTTGTTGTTTGAATAATTAATGTGTTTATTTTAGAGTGTATCAGGAAAAATACCCAACCAGCACTTGAGACCTGGATTCCATAGATAATTTTGGCTTAGGACAAAGCTAAATTTAGTTACGTGTTTCAAAAAGTGACTCAGTTTTAAAATAAATAACAAAACAGTTGATACTGTTTAAATGGCAAAAATTGGAAAATTTGTAATTAGTGTATGAGTGACCCAATTTTTAGAAACTTGTCTGATATTTTCCATCTTGTTACCATTTCTCATGCATGAGCCAGTTAATTAAAGTAGGAAATGTTGACCTTCTTTTATCACTAGCAATAAAACTTTACTTTTACCTCTTCATAGCCTACTTAAACTGAAATATTTGAGACCTGGTTGGCATCAAAACACCAGTAGAGGTTTAATGACAGATATTGCTTTATTTTGCAGATAATGAACAGTTGGCTCGATCAGGTACAAATTGCTTAGAAAACTTAGTAATATCCAATGGAGAGAAATTCAGTTCTGATGTCTGGGATGAAACATGCAACTGTATGTTGGATATTTTCAAAACAACCATCCCACATGTGTAAGTACTAATGCAGTTGTTCCTGTTTGTTTTTCTGTTCAGTGGGCGTCTTAAAGCTCCTGGTTGTCCTTCACATTGATAATTTTCCTTTTCTTCCATTCCTTTAAGTTTGCTGACATGGAGACCTGTAGGATTGGAGGAGGACGCATCAGAAAAACATTTGGTAGGATATTTCTGTTGCTGTCTTTTGTTTCTTATATCTTAATAAAGATTGATGAGCCTATGCTATTTGTACCTTTTTTTTGAGTTGGAGTCTCACTCTGTCAACCAGACTGGAGTGCAGTGGCTGCT